GACCCAGCCTGGGGGCTGTAGCCTGAGAAAGGAAGTGACCTGCTGTGATGAGAGATTTTCCCTGGTGACATTCGTCCAGCTGGCCACAGTTGGGGCTTGTCTGGGGCCCATACATGCAGGATGTCAGAATGTGCCAAGATCAGCAAAGATAAGATCTTGGCACAGAATTCTTCCATCTGAGGTACAAGGAAGTGGGACTGAATGACAGGTCTGACCCCAGAGCTTGCTTCTAAGATCTTCATCTAATAGAACCAAACGGCACTCGGGTAGTGGCTCGGTTGAAGAGAAAAGAAGAAACAAGTCCAGGTCAGAGCTGAAAAACTTTAAAGCAGTTGTGTCAGCTGCCCTGGAAGGTCAAGGCATCCTGTAGATAAGCTCCAAGAAGTTTCGACTTTGGAGAATCATTTCTATGTGATAGCTCAACTGTCATTCTCCAAGTGACAGTTTTCTCTGTTCATCCCCACATACTCCTAGACATGAGCTTTATTTTCTTCTAATTGGTCTTGATGCCAAGCTTAGGGTCATAATGAAATTAGAAAAAGGAATTCTAAAGACAAAGAAGAAAACCAACTCACGGACTGGCATTTGCTGAAATGCCTTCCCTAATTGAATACAGAGCTTGGATCTGGTGTTGTCCTGATCTACCCACAATCACTATGCAGTTCTGAGGTGGAGATTCCCTCACAGGCTCCCTAGACTCCCCCCAGAACAAAGAGTGAAGATTTAATCTTTATGACCTGGAGAGGTGTCTCTCCACTTGGCATCTCAAACTGGTTTGACATCTCAAACTTGGTTAGTTGCAATGAATGCATACACCTTTAGAAGGAGAAATGTTTAGTCAGGCTGGAAATATGTGAAAAGATTCTTGCTCATTTAAAGAGCCAGGATGTACTTTCTCTGTTTATCATCATCACAGAGGGCACAATTATGGCCTCCCCTGGTTGGGAGATGGCCTTGGGCTGTTCAAGTATCATTGTTGACATTTCTCAGTCAGTTCCATTGTCAGAGGGACCCATTACTGTCTTGTTCTACTAGGCAACCAACCTGTTTTTCATTTCCACATCCTCAGGCTCCACGGGGCTGCCTTGGACCATTTACTATGCATCAGGATCTCTGTGCACATTAAAGACCCCCACGTTGCCTTCAGTTAGTGCTGTACTGTACAAAATAAGGACTGAGACAGTTGGAGAAATTGAAGATTGTTCCTTAACTTTCACAGCAGATGCTCCTACATTTATTCCCCGCTCCCCTAGGAGGACAGTGAATGCAAATTGTTCATTTGAGCAATTTCTATCCCCTCTGGATGGTCTCGATCCTCTTGGTGTGAAATGTGTTCAGCTCTTCAACCAAATTGTACGGGATGGTTGTGAAGGAAGAAAACCTAGTTTGCATACTTCAAATTAGAGGAATGCATTAAAGTATTCAGGAATCAGATACTCACAGCACCCAAATAATATCCAACTTAGGCCCTTAGGGATGGAGCTGCATGAGGCTTAACAGTTCTGACACCTGAAAGAAGGAGATTTAATGGCACTCATAAAAAAAAAGTAAAAATTATTATAAAATGTTTTGAAAATTTAAGTTGAGAATCTTTCTTAGGCAAGTATGTTTTTAGGGATCAAAATGTAAAAGTGTCCACCTCCATGCAGGCTAGCTCAGGCCAACTCCTGGTTTTAAGAAAGGGGGAGGAAACCTAATTAGGTTTTCCTTTCCTTCTGCAAATGAATTGCTGGCACTCACTTCCTCAGCAAGTTCAGTTTCCCTGGAATTCCTAGGCAAGCAGAAAACTCCGGAAACTGAAACCATGAAACCTACAGAGTTCCCAGAGGACACTGGACCACCCGGAACCTTTCTAAAACCAGTGATAACTGACCAAATTACAAGTCAGGAAAACGGTCTTTGGTGAGTGAGCATTTCTGAGGTCTCAGGATGTTTTCACTTGACTGAGGACATTTGGATTCAAGTCTTTGGTTTTTGCATCTGGATTGGAAAAAATGTGTGGTACAATTTCCTCCTCAGGGGGACGATGCAAAATGACAGTGACTGTCCTTCAGAGAAGGCTGAGAAAAGGGAAGCCGACACTCACCCCTACTCCTCTCACAGCTATTTCAGGGTCCCCTATGACTCTTTCTCTTGGCAACCACTACTGCAGGACAGTCACGTCACAAATATTTACCTCTCAGTTTGCTCTCCAGAAGTTCCATCACACAGACTTCTGGAGACAAGAGATTTTTTAATTGAGCTAGTAAAGTTTCATTGTTTTTCTCAGAGGATTCAAAAGTCCTGACATCTTCTGTTTCTAATTAAATACATCTGCAGAAAAGATGGCTGGCTCCTTCATTTTCCTCTGAGTCGAAGAGTGTGGCCTGATGGCATCTCAATTTGTCTGCCACCAGTTTGCTGGGCAGTTTAAACAGGCCACCTAATCTCTCTGCAAAACTGAAAGGAATATGCATCTCACTGGTTGGTGTCCTGTGCTATTTCACTGTTTGTTGATATCCAGTGGTAATAAAAAAATAATATAAAGTGCTTTAGAAGTGAAGCTTTGAGTTGTCAAAATGCCCATCCATCACCATGAGCAAATTTATTCCATAACACTTCAGGTCCTTAGAGCTAAATTGAATAGCTGAAAAAAGTCTCTTTGAAATACAAGGAAGAAAGATCAAGTCATAGCTTGATCCAAATGACAAGTTAACTACCTTCTGGGACTCGAGTTGTTTCCTTGAGGGGTCCATGACTCTGTGAGGGCACATATTCTCCTAGGAACATGTTGCTATGCCCCCCACAAGGCAAACTATTAGTTGGTCATATGGAACACACTTTGTGACTTTTCCTCAAAAATAAACATCAAAAGAAGTCACTGTTACAATGTCATGTGATCTCTCCAGACGAACTGAGATGTTTGCTTCACGTAGTAGATGAATAATAGGTCAATCTTTCTAAATGAATTTAGGTGTTTAATTAATGTAAGGTGTTTTCAGATCTATTGGTTGTAAAAGATAATAACAATAGGAGGAGAAGGAGCAAGCATTTATTGAGCAATTAACCTATGCCCAACATTGTACTAAATGCTTGCATGTTAGCTCATTTAAATGCACATAAACCCCTGAGGTAGTCATTCAGTTTCCCCATTTTAAAGAAGAAACTGAGCCATGAGGAGATTAATTTTCCCAAAGTCACATTAGCATATGACCCTGAGCAGTGTGACCAGGCTAGTTTTATTCTTTCTTTCTTTTTGTTCTTTTTAGATATACATGACAGTATATTTTGACATATTATACATGTAGAATATGACTTATTCTAATCAGGTTCCCAGTCTTGTGGTTGTACCTTATGTGGAGTTCACTGTTGTGTATTCATATATGAACATAGGAAAATTAAGTCCGATTCATCCTACTGTCTTTTCTATTCCCATTCCCTACCCCTTCCCTTCATCCCCCCCTTGTCTAATTCAATGAACTTCTCTATGCATCTTACCTCTATGCTTCCTATGCTAATTTGATAAAGTTGCCCTGCCTGCGTTAAAATTCTACTTCTCCAGGGCCATCCTTGACCTGGAATTCAGTAGTCACTCAGAAATAAAATTCTTTCTCCCATCTTTTTCCATCAATCCTATCTTACAACCATAAAGTAAAACTTATTTAAAGACCAGTTCTTTTCAGGGTCAGGAAAGAGTAAGAGGACAACATATTTGAGAAGATCTTTGGCTCTAAGTTACATGAGGATTTAAAAGGGTAGAGCATTTCAATATTTCTAAATGTATGAGTCTCTAAATGTTGATGATAGCTGCATTAAATATTCTGGTAAGTATCTTTGTCAAACTCTAAAACACTAGTCCCCCTTAGTATAACTCATGAGAAATGTGCTCAAAGCTGCTCACATTGAAGTCACTGGGAAAATGGCTCATCCATCCAGTTAATGGAAGATCCCCAAGCTGTTCCCTGGCGATTTAGATGTGACTGTGTTGTCACATCTCCTAGGAGTGGTGTTTTTAAAATTTAATTTATTTTTTTTCTGGAAAGAGGTATGAAACGATGAGTAAGTACCCTTTCTTTTCTAGAACCAGTCAAATCAGGATTGAAAGTTATTGTAATTCCAACCACTTTGGCCCTGAAATGAAACTATCCCAACTTGCAGTGGATTGTACAAACAGTTGGAAGGACAGAAGGAAGAGATACTGGCACAGAAGGGTTAGTAAAAGGACTCATATTGCCAGGTACAGTGGCACACATCTATAATCCCAGTTCTCAGGAGGCTGAGGCAGGAGGATTGCAAATTCAAAGTCAGTCTCAGCAATTTAGTGAGGCCCTAAGCAACTTGGCAAGACTCTGTCTCAAAATAATACAAAAAGGGCTGGGAATGTGGTTCAGGGGTTAAGTGCCCCTGGGTTCAATCCCTGGTATTAAAAAAAAAAAGAAAAAGAAAGAGGACTCATGATAATCATGCACCCCAGCTTGACCAGGATGCTTGCAAATCATGATGAAAAGTTGTGGTTCTGGGTGTTGTCTGATGATTCATGAACATAAACCTGGAGCTCATGTAGCTTTAACAGAGTATATACATATATATAGTGTATGTATGTGTGTGTTTCAGGGTCTTGTGGATGACTGTCCATGCTTGGAAATCCTGAGTCCAAAGTGGCTGGCCACCCACTATGAGAACTATCCCAAATCCTAGGTGCCACTGAAGGAAACTAAAGCAAAGGGTTGTTTGGGGCTCTGTGTGTGTGTGTGTGTGTGTGTGTGTGTTTAACTGGTTAGCATGGTTCACAAAATACTTAGGAGGATTTTTGCTCTGAGCCTCTCGGCCCTGAAGCACACAGCCCCTCCACCACATCCTGCCTCTCCACTTCCTCCTCTTCTTTCCCAGCTCAAGAAGCCAAGATGGGAAGTCTCTCACGACCCTGTGGCTTGGCCGGGAGGAAGCCTGAACTTGATACAGCTGGCTTTCCTGGGGCCTGGTAAGAGCATTTATCCTTGAGTCTGTGCTTCTTTGCTTACCTATTTTTAGACTGGCGCTGCAGACCTCTCCTGAGGGCTCAGATAGAAGTTTCCAGTGAGTCTGGTCCAAGCCAGGGACGACACCGGTGCTAAGTCTGTTGCACAGAAGTCAAAAGAGGAGAAATCAGCAGCCTTTGACAACTCCTTTTTCACCCCCCACAAGAAGGTCTGTGATCTCCTTTCCACCTTAGCAGCAAGCCAAGGAAGGTGGCTGAGCACGTGACCTGGGGATCCAGACACACCAAAGAGGTAGCAGAGCAGGAATGTCACATTCAGTAACCCCAACCTCTACCAGCCAATCACAGAGCACTCCGGCCAGGCCTGGGCAGAAAGCTGCCTCTTCAGTCTGCTCTCCCATCACACCCTCTCCAAAGCACCCCACTCACTTGACTCCAGGTTTTTGTACCTGTTGCTTTCACAAGAATCTTTTCACTTACCTGCTCTTTGTTCTTCATAATCTGTGTCAGGTTACCCCATAGCCTTTACCTCCCCAAAAGTTGAGAGCCAGGGACCTTAACTTAGTCATCTCTCTTTTGAAGATATGCCAGAAAGTAGGCATGTGAGGTGGATATGAGGTGGATATATACGGGGATGAGGCTCAAGGCCTGATTTGGGGCCAGCTCGTGAAGTATTGCAAGTAATATCACATAATAAGTACTTGGTAAAACTGAAATGCATGCATGAACAAATAAAATGGAACAAAAAGATGTTTACAATTCAAAGTCAAGAAGAAGCAAATAGCCCGAAAAAAACAAAACAAAACATAAAACTAGCTAATTCTTATTCCTGGTTTTATTTGTATTTACTTTCAGTAGGACTTTATGAATTGACTCTATTTTTCAATTCAGGAGACTTATAGTACCTAAGCCTGAGCTGTGTGGGCCAAATGTTATCCATATAAAATTAAAACATGATTGTAAAATACTGAAAATATCTTCTCTGACTTGTCACCAATATCAGTCATATTCACCAGAATATCACACCTGAAATAATTTGATTTGACATTGGAAATTTAGAAGAAAAACCAGAATTCGCAAGCTGGCAAAGGGCTCTCTGCATGAGGCAAAACTATTGTCAGTAGCTCAAAAATGGTATTTGGTGATGTTCCTGTGGGTGTCTGCAGAGCTCACCAGAGTTTAATCACATTTCGTCCTGGACAGGATTGATCTGGATTAGAAAATGGAGGAGGAAGGAAGCAGCTTGACTGGAGACTAAGCTGGAGAGGCAGTGGTAGGAAGAGCCCTGTCCTTTCTTTTAGTTTTAGTACCAGGGATTGAACCCAGTGGTGCTCAACCACTGAGGTACATCTCCAGCCCTTTTCTATTTTTTATTTTGAGACAGGGTCTCCCAAAGTTATTTAGGGCCTCACTAAGTTTCTGACAGCCTCTGGAGTTGCTGGGATTACAGGTATATGCCATTGCACCTGGCTGAGCCCTGCCTTTTCTGAGGCTGGCTTTATGGTCATACCTTTAACTGTTTCCTGCACCCCACCACACCTGTGGGCACTTGATGACAAGAACTTGTCCCACCTGCCACTCTCCAATGGAAACACTCTGACAACAGAGAAAGTTCATTCTCTTTCTCTGGGGCACTGTGCTGAGTTCTCCCTTCTGTTTATCTTCTGTGGGTAGCTAAGCCCTCTGCCTATCTCCTCCTTTTATATTTGACACTTCCCTAAGGGCTACTTTTGGTTTCTTAGTCAACTCCTAATGCCTCAGCACATAGGAAAGTAGTGAACTTGGCCCAGGTGCCTAAGGTCTGCCGTCTATGACCTGATCGCCACTTGATTAAGAAGGGATAACAGGGGGCTGGGATTGTGGCTCAGCAGTAGAGCGCTCGCCTAGCATGGGCGTGACCCAGGTTGCACCACATAAAAATAAAGGCATTGTGTTGTGTCCATCTACACCTAAAAAAAAATAAGTATTAAAAAAAAAGGAAAGGATATCAGACGGGCATGAGGTTGAGCTACAGAACCAACACCAGAAAGCAGGCCAATCTCAAGACATGAACCAACTTCGAAGGAAGAAACAAGGTAAGTTCAGCATTGATGCAGGGGCTCAAGGGGCTCCTGGGCTACACAGACTTGCAACTGTCCAGAGTTGACTTGGGAATAGGTGCCAGAGCAGGGCTGACCTTAGGACTCAACAGCCCCTCAGAAATGAGCAGATTATCTTGGCCAGGTTTGGTTGAAAAGGGGCTGACACCCATGATAACCAACAGAAAGGAGCTGAATTCCACAGAGTTCTGAAAAGATCCCAGACCAGTGGTTCAAACCCCAAGGACATAATCAGAATTTCCTCAGGAAGTTTTTCAAGATCTATAACCCCAAACCTTATTTTGAACCTGAGGATTCAGATCCTCAAACCAGTTTGGGGTGGGGTAGGCAGGAACAGTGACTTTAGAAAGCTGCCCAAGTATTCTGGTATCAATACCTGCCACACCCTGCCCCAACATGGTCACCATTGAAGTCCTGTAATTTTTCAATGCCAGAGAGCATGTCTTTTACCTCATACACAATACAGTCTTAATACATAATAGGCCTAAAGTCAATATTTGTCTATTGATGGATTGAATGAAATGAATTAATGAACACTTCCTGTCTATGTATTGATTGCATTAATTATTAATAAACATGCAAAATGAATGTGTACGACTGAAAGAATTGTGCACTATGTCAATAAATACAAGGAAGGAACAGACTTTCTCATAAGTGATTCTCACTATAGGTGCAAGCTAGTCTTTGGTTGACTCATTCAGAACAAGAGCTAAATATGACAACACTGATGTGCACGTTATCAACGAGTGTGGCTCAGCAATACTTGGTAAGACTGAAGGGAACGGGATTTGTATTAACATCACAGGGAGTGTAAAATAAAAGAAGGTACTCCACCTAACTCACAATTAATTATATAATCTGAAGCTTAATTCTAGCTTTGGAAACAATGGGAACCATAATTACATGTCCAAAGCCCAAAATGGAATCCCGCAAGTGTTTGACAAGTAGAACATAAGGATGATGGAGTGGTTTACCCATAAATTTGACCACAGGTCAACCCTGGTGAGTCATGAGTTCAGGTCGTGGTAGGATTTTTCATTATCCTCCATTCTTCCGCAGTGAGTATATTGAGCTCTGAGCCACTTGATGGATGTGAATCGGCTTGTGAATTCAGGCTGGCCTGCTGTCTATGTGGCTCTGACCTGTATATAGAATAGCCATGCAAATTAGCATGGGCCTCGGGCCAGACAAAATTAATCCAGCCCTAAAAGCAATCAAGTAAAAAGTGTCAAAGGGCAAAAGAAGAGAAAAATATGGCTGGGAGCAGTGATGCTCTATTTTTCAAGTTTCTCTAACTTACCACAGTGCGTTTTTTTTTTTTTTTCTTTTTGTCACAAGTAAACTTGAAAATGTAGGAAAAGCTGGTGGAAATCTTTATGAAAAGAAAAAGTTCATGTTGGAAGTTGAAATAAGGGATTCAAAAAGGCTGTCCTTGACATGGAGTCTGAAGTGGGTCCCTTCACCAGCTCCTTCGTCTCCAGCTCAGCACCTTCTTGTGCCTAGTCACATTATGCATCTGTTTTATGATGTTTGTCCGTCTCACCTATCCGAGTGTAAGTTCCTCAAACCTAAAAATTATGTGTGTGTGTCCTACCTCTGATTCCTAACATGTGGCAGACACAGTCAATAAATACTCATTTAGTGAATGGGTAGACACTGCATAATGATCTAAAAGTAATAAAAGCAGACCACAGGGTTGTCTGTGGTTCTCAGCCTCCAGTTCACAGTGGTCCTGTCCTCCACAGAGCTCCCTGCTGGCCCTACAGCTCTGGCCCCCACTCCTCTTACACAATTCTCTAAAAAAAAAAATTTGAAAGTGATACGATGGACCAAGAGTTAATGTCTTTACCATATACCGAGCTCCTACAAGTCAGTAAAAAGAAACAAACAAACCAATAAAAATGGGAAATATCAAGTATAGGTTGTTTATAAAAGAAGACATACCAAACACAGAAAATGACATTCCACTTCAACAATATAGTAATCCAAATAAAACATAAAGTATGTGTGTGTGTGTGTGCGCATGCCTATCAAATATAAAGAATAAAGAGAAGGAGAAAACCTAGTGTTGACAGTGTTGGAAAGTAGGAATTGTCATGCACTGATACTGGGAATGCAAAATTGTCATAACTCTTCTGCAGAGACATTTCAGAATACATGCCAAAATTTAAAGTGCATGCTTACCTTTAGTCCAAGAAAGAAGAACTTGTTGATAGTTCTTGTGGTAAATTTTTAAATTTTGCAATAAAATTGACCATTGTAATCATTTTACAGGCATATGTAAAATAGTTTTTATTCTACTTTTTTATTTCTTTAAAAGTACTTTGACATATTTAAAAGTACTTTGACATATGTACCTACATAATTCTATCTCAGACACGTTTTTTTAAAAAATTAACACAGCTTCAGTTGTATATGTTCAAGACATGAGACAATTAACATGTTAAGAGACAATTAACATTTTTAAGTGTATGGTTCCGTGGCACCAGATAGAATCACATTACTATACAACCATCATTATGATCCATCCTTCTCCAGAGCTTTTTTACTCTTCGCCAACTGAATCTGTCCTCATTAAACACTAACTTGCCACTTCTCTCTGTTCTTTACCCCTGGTAACCACCACTCTACTTTATGTCTCTATGAATTTGACTATTTCAAAGATTTATTTTAAGGCCATAAGAGTACAAGAACAGTGTGTGTGTGTGTACACTACACATACATACACGTATGTGTATGTACACATACATACACATGCTTACATCCACACACACACACACACACAAATATGCATTAGTTAATTCAAAAAGCTTTCCTGAGGATATACTGCATGCGAGATAATAAACAAGAGAAGATGAAGTTATTTATCTCATATACTAGTAATGACCTAGAGAAGGAGGGTAGACCATAAACAAACGTGTGAGCAATGGAGCATTAGGTTAGGATAAGTCTCATGTAGAAAAATAAATAGATCAATGTGATAGTGATTTTAGGGGGTACGTTAGATTGGGTAGTGAGAAGGTTTCTCTGGAACTGTTTACCATAACAAAAAAATTAGAAAATAACTAAATGTGTAAGCAACATCCTTGCTAGGCTAGAGTTCACCTGGCCGGATGTCAGAGCATGACAGTTCATCATAGAGAGTAAGAGCCTTTCTCAGAACAAATTGCACTACTTCAACATGCCTTTTGTGGAATATTTTCCTGGAGAGAAAGTGTTTCCAACATTTTGGGGTAGAAAATAATTTAGAAGAGAAACATGCCAATGCTTCTTTATTCTAAAAAGGAATGTATAGATGACAGTTGCAAGTGTTTGATGTCCAACCTCCTAAAGCTGTAAAATAGCAGCAGAGTGATCAAGAGAATGATCTAAATCTTCTTTTTGTGGTTTTACTTTTGTTCTGGCAGGCTGAACAACACTGGGAAAGAATGACAGTGTGTGCATGTGAAACATATTCTTCCCTCCTTGACTAACTGACAAACTGGAGAGGAGGCACAAATAAGGGGCAGTGGCATTGCTTGTGATATAGCTGGAATACATGGAAAATTTTAAGTAGCATCATGGGCCTGGCCTACCCTTAGCCGAGGCAGGAAACTCAAGAGTAATATAACACTTTGCTGGTAAGTAATGCCATTGGAATAACAGCATGTTTGGGATGACTTTTGGCTTTAACAGGGAATTTCTGTTTTATTTGCTTCCAAAAAGAACTTTTTTCCCCCTCTCTTAAGTTCTTAACTTTTATTTTAAAAGTCCATGTAGCTACATAAATATGATATATGCAAACTGGCCTTGAATAAAAGTTGTATGCTGTAGAATATGCTGAAAAGCAAATTCAGGACCTCAGTTTTAGCCATGGGACTTTAAGACAGAGGTTTTGTATATATGACACAAAGTGCACAAAACAGGTCAGAGACCTCACTCTATTACCTATCAGCTGTGTGATCTTCCTCGATGGATTATTTGACATCTGAGCTTTCAAAAGGGGAATAACAATAGTACCTACTCAGTGGAGTTTTGTGACAATAAAATTCAAGAACATGAAAGGCTAGCACACAGTAGGGCTTTCCTGTTTGTTTTTTCCCTAGACTTCAAAACTGGATCAGCCATTCCTGACTCAGAGTAGAAAAGGGCTAATATGAAAAATCAAAATTTGTCTCTGTTTGAATAACTTGAACATAATCCAACTAATTCCCCCTTTGATTTTAAGCCATGCTCCTCCTTTGCAACCCAAAAAGCTGAGTTGTAGCATGAACTGAATTACTGTCTTCAGTTTCAAAGGGACTTGAGCTAACTGGGGCATCTCTAGATAACTCAGGGGTGGTGTAGGAGAATCAGACCCATGAGAGAAATTGCTGAAGGATCTGCAGATGTTAGATGGGTGATGACACTGTGGGGATATGGGAGCTGTTTCCAAATATTTGAAGAGTAATGTCATGTGGAAGAGAAATTAGAGTTATTTTTCATGACTCCATAAGTGGAGACAGATTCCTGTTTTATATATAGAAAACCTTAATTAAAAAATAAAACGGTCAAGGAATGATGCTATCTTCTAAGGTAGGGAGGGTCCCATCTCTAGAGGGATTCTATCAGAGAACAGCTTTCTACTCCTGGAGAGCTGCACAGGAAATTCTGTACCAGAGAAGTGCTGGGAGCAATGACATTTAGGGATTTGTTCCAGGTCAGGAAGGCAACAATTCAGATATCTATATAAATGTAATGTTTTATAGCAGGAACTTAAGGAAGAATAGCCATGAAGCAGTGTAAGGCACACACAGGCGTATGCAGGTTGTATTAATGTATGAACTTCAACCTTGTATAACAAAAGAATGTTGTGCCACATGGTGGGGGATGTTTAACTGCTAGAAATGAAAACAGTCATACTTTACCCTATCGTATTTTATAGGCTCATGTAGACATCGGGGCCAAATGAAACTGAACCAAGATCTTAAGCATTAGGTTACATTTTAATTTTACCTTCTCCCTCCCCTGTGATTTTGACATAAGTGATTCAAAATGAACTTGGACCTTTGACCTGTCCATTTGATTTTGGAGTTTTTTGTATTTTCTTTTTTCCTGCTCACCTGCGAACCTCTGCTGATTGTTTCATATCCTTGGTCAACTGCTTTTAACAGCTAAACATTAGAGCCACAGAGAGCATAAACAGGAAACTGGTATTTAGGTGGGAGTTCCCAGGAATTTTATACCACTGACCACAGAGGCCAAGAGAGAAAGGAAATAGGAAAAACAGTGTAAATACCTGGGTGACTAATGACTCTGTGCAGCTCAGCTGGCTGTTCTGAACATTTAATGGGAAGTCTCTTGCAGGGGAAACACCCTTAAGATGTTGCGGACACCATGTGGCATGCAAGGGCCAAATAGGGGTGTTTACTGCAGAGTTGGTTGGTTTCCTTCATCCACTGGCTACCGGGCAAAAAGGAGTTTTGGCAATTTGGCCAGACGAAGTCTCCAAATGACTGACTGCATTTGCATGCGTGGTGCATTTTCCTAGCATCGGGGTTCCCAGGCCTCTCCAGGCCTCTGATTGTTAAGGATTGTAAGGCCACCCCTCTCCTTGTTCACACGGATAGCGCCTAAGAGGATTTAGAATCAAGTGGGCACATTTGCACTGCCTTGTTCTGAAGAGGCAGCTGGAGCGCGGGCCGGCAGGCCTGGCGCAGCCCACCGAGAGTCCCCGAGGACTGCATTGTCCTCCGAGGGGCCGCCACGGGGGCTCCATTGTGCACGGAGCAGGCCTTTTTCTCTTGCCCTCTGTCTCCCCCGGCCTCCTCCTCCACCCCCGCACGCAGACCTTTCTCTCAAGCTGCCCGGATCTCCCGGCTGCCGCATTTCCAATGCAGAGGAGCAGGCAGGGCTTCAGGCTGGCCATCTGCACGCGGAGATTGACAGCAGCCCCGGAAGGTCAGCGCCTCAACGATTTCAGTCTGAACAGCAGGCCACCCAGGCCTCCCGAGCAAAACAGGGACATCTGCTCCCCTTAATTTAGAACACTGGTTCTAATTTCACCAGAGCCCCTTGCTTGAAGCTCTCCTAGGGCTCCAGGGGAGGAGACAACGGGGCGGGGAGGGGGACAAACAGACGGCCACCCGCCCCGGGCTCCCTAGTTCCCAGGGAAAGCTGCTGAGATGAAGGGGGTTGGGGGTGGGGGCGTTGGGGTGTGGAGTCTGGTCACTCACGTGACCAGGGTGACGTCGTGTTGGAGAGAGGCGGAGGCGGGAGGGGCGCAGAGTGGGCACAACAGTCCTGGATCGCGCCTGGGATGCATGGTGCAGACGCATGCATTCATGCATCTGTATCTTACACGGGCAGGCTGTGCTGGCCCTGGGAGGCCAGACTGGGCGAGTAGGGTCAGAGGCTCCTTTGCTCTTTCTTGCCGAAAGTACAAGTGAACCAGCAGAATATATTGCTACAAGACCAAGAGACCCAGCTCTGCCCTTCCTCCTACCTTGTCCCTGGGCCAGGAGTTTAAAGATAGCCCTCTGTGGCCAAAGACTAAATCCTGCCTGGACAGTTGACATCAGAATCCATCCTTTTCATATTTGGGCAAAAGGATGAAAGAATAATGCTTCTGTGGAGTTTCTACCCCTGGGTCATAAGCTCCTTGAAAACAGACAGCGCCTGTTAGTCACCCTTCTGTCTCCGGCACCTAACACAAATGTTTGGAGACTAAATTAATGTGCGAAGGGGGAGGGGTAGTCCTTGTGAGCACTGAGTGCAACTGTTCTCTTTTTCTGTGTGAGGGAAAACAAGACAATTGGGGATAAAGAAACTGTGCCTACAGCAAGTATTAATTACTTTGTTCTTTCTTCCTCATTCCCTTCCTCCCTTTCTTCCTTTCATGTTTTATTGAGAGCCCCTACATGCCAGATATCAGGCACTGGACTAGGAATACATGGAAAGGAGCCTTCCAGCCTTTACTCTTCACTTTGTGGTGGGTGCAGTGTACAAGTCAATAGCCCATCAGGACCCTGAGGATCAGTAAGTGCTATTGAAAACAATAGGAGGATCTTAAACCTAACTGCTAGGAGGAAGGAATTGGGTGGAAGCTAAGAGGCTGAGCAGAAGCTCACCATAAGGGCCCTTTGTCCACACTCGTCTTTCTTCAGGGATTCCCCTCTTCCCACATCCATACCCATGTAGCCTCACTCTACCTCTTGCCCATTTTTCAGGCCTCAAGTGAAATGTACTTCTCTGGTGCCCTGACTAGATAAGGTCCTCCTAGTAAGTGACCCTGTAGCTCTTTGATACTTGTCTGACGTAGTGCTCACCCCCACATACAGTTGGGTCAACTTCATCAACCCCATGAGCTGCAAGCTTCTGGAAGCAGAAACTGACCATTCTATTCATGGATAGAGTCACCACACCCAGTACAGGGTCCAGCCCATCATGTTCCCTAATATTTGTTCCATGGATGAATAATCAAACTGAAAAATAATCTGACTTTTCTTTAGTTAATGAGAAACCCATCCATACATTTTCTATTTGAGGCCAGATTGTGACTGCTCTCTCTAGATACCAGTGGGGAGTAGCTGGAAGGAAAAGGATATGATTTAGAATTTATTATCGTCTGATATATTAAAGCTTGGGGATTGAGAAACTATCCTCTGCAGAATGGCCATGAGTCTGATGCTCCTCAAAAAAAAAAAAAAAAAAAGATATCTTGACAAACAGGTTTCTTAAGTTATAGATTTCACAGAGCCTGCAGGCTTCTCAGGGAACTGTACAGTGTCCCAACACAGATTGTGTCTGAAGAGTTTCTAATAACATTTTGCAGCCAGGAAAGGGATTAAGTTAAATGGTAACTTTGCTGCACCATTTCTCCCAGTTCTCCTGAGACCCTGAGAAGGGGCTAGAAGGGAGCAGCTGAGCAAGGTTGGCTAATGAAGGTGGGCTCCTTCCTCTCATTTCTTTGTTATGCTGTTTGACAAATTTGTTTTTGTTTTTTTTAAACAGTAGGAGGATCGGATGGAGGATGTAAAGAGGCATTTATAGCATAGTAGTCTCCCCTTGTCCACAGAGAACACATTCCAAGATCCCCAGTGGATGCTTGAAACTTCAGATAGTACCAAACTCAACCTATACCATGTTTCTTCCTACACACTGTTTGCTTTATAAATTAGGCATAGTGAGAGAGTAACAACAATAATTCATAATAACATAGAACAATGGTAACAATATGCTATAATAAATGTCACCCAAAACTTATGAACTGTTTACTCTTGAATTTTCTATCTAAAATATCCAGACTGTAGCTAACCATGGGTATTTGAAACTGAAAAAAAGAGAAGCCACAAATAAGGGAAATGATGGTAAAGAGTTGCCCGAGTTTGAACCCAGCTCTATCACTTCTTGGCTTTATGACTTCAGAGAAAATGCTGCCTCTCTGTAGGCTCCAGTTGCTTTATCTGTGATAGAGGTAATAGTATCTAACTTAACAGTGTTGAGATGTTTAAAAAGCTCTTGTATCTGCTGAGAATTATTACAAGTATACATTTTTAATGCTAATATTTTTAACTAATTAACATTAAATATCTGACCTCTAAGCTTTAATTTGTCTCATTAAGGCTGGCACTAATGGAGAGGGCTCACAGAAGACTAGACTGAAGGCCTAGCTTTTCTCTGCTTGCAGCCTCCGAGCTCCATCAAAGCATTGTGCACCTTCACCATGATTTTTCGAATGAGAAGGATTCCAATTCTTTTAATAGCCCTGAATGAGTTCTTCCCTCTAAGGTTAGTGTGGAATTTCATTGTACTTTATTCTCAGAGAGCAGTGGAGCAGCTATATGCCAGGATTAAAACAAACAAACAAACAACAGCAACAAAACCCGCCTATAATCAGTTTCCCAGGGACTGGTTTTGTAGCCCATGGTTGTCTCCTTAGACAACAGGTCTATGATCCAAGGGACCCTATTATTTAGGGTCTTTTACTGTAAGTGAAAGAGTACGTAGGATCTTACCCATTTGCTGCAGCTTACTTTGACCACAAAAGCATCAGTACTGAATTCTCAGAGAAGCAGCATTTTCAGGAGCTCTATGTTAGAGCTCAGTGTGAACATTCACATTGTTTTAAAGCTTCACATTAAACTGCAACACCTGAAAGAAGCTGTTTCCGGAAAGCCAGAGGTGGCCTGAAATTTGTGGAATGGTTCTTTACCCAAGTGTAAAGAAGGAACAGTTTTATTCCTTCAGTTCTTCATTTTCTGCATGTAACATTAACCTGGGCAGAGTTTTCTAAACTAGATGCTTGGAGTAAATCTTTTGCAGATCTGATTCCTACTTTGACACATGAAACAAATAACTTTTTTTTCCCCAAATGTTAGCTATTCTCACGGATAGACTCGTAATGTCCAGGAGAGTGCTTGGCAAAATTATTTTTATTTCATTTAACTCTTACAGGGGGTTACCACTTATGGATCAGCAATTTTCTAATGATCTAAATATTCTAAAGCAACAACCAGTTTTCCACCTGGTGTGTGCATCAGACACTTCTTGGGTGCCATCTCAGTGCCGCTGGGCATTTCCTGTCCCTTATTCTAACCACTGATGCTGGCTCTCAGCAGCTTCCTATGGGTGCAACTTGCCAGCACTTTGCCTGGTGCCCATGCCTCCCACGGCTTCTAGAGCTTCCAAATCTTCCCCTGGAACTTCTCTGAGCCCTATGAGGCCTGCTCATTGTCCATTCCAGAAATCTGGGGGCATAAGTTTTAGAAGTGAACCTTCCAGCAATAAAGCATATGCTCCTGGATAACGGCTTTTCTCTCTTCTTCCAGACAATCCTGAAACATCTTCCATACAAGGCTTCAAACAGCCAGGAAAGAGCCAGAAGCCATTCTCCAGGAGCGTGGCCAACTTCATAACTCATCCTTGTATTGGTTTTCCATCCTTCTATGCTTCATCCTTCTTGTCTCTTGTTCCTACTTGCTGGCTCATGCATCCTGGTAAATATTTGCACTCAAGCCTTTGTCTCAGGATCTGCTGACTTGGGTGGGGTGGGAAGGTCAGGCTAAATGCAAGTCATTTTTGACTATTTTCTTTTTTAAACAAAGTAAGTTGTAGAGTCTACCCCAATTTTACATCCCCTTGCTTCAGTCAGTTTTCCAAACGCAAAAGAGTTCCCTCTTTGCTGTGTGAGTCTCTAGTTCCGAGTATGAAACAGGAGGTGGAGTCAACTTCCTGTCACCATGACAAAACACCTGAGATAATTCACTTATAGGGAAGAAAGGTTTATTTAGGCTCATGGTTCTGGAGGTCCCAATGCATGATCAGATGGACGCATTGCTTTCAGGCATGTGGTGAGGCAGCACACAAGTGGCAGGAGAGGCAGCAAAGTAAAACTGTTCACCTCATGGCCAGGAAACAAAAGAGTGGAAGAGGAAAAGACTGGGGTCCCACAATACCCTTCAAGGGCATGTCCCCAGTGACCTAAGGACCGCCCAATAGGCCCTGCCTCTTAAAAGTTCTACCACCTCTTAAAAGCACCATGCAGGCTGCATCATGTGGTTCTGTGTCCCCTTGCTTTGGATATGGTGGATCTTAGAGTGGTGAATCCTGATGTCCACTTCAATCCCAGTGGGACCCTAATAGAGTTTGCAGTTTGGATCAGGTCAGAAACTTTGGCCCTCGACTTTTGGTCTCCTAACTTTATCTTAGTGTCTAAGATAGCTTAGACACTATAGATCCCTCTGTTTATTTTCCAAGTCAGATTTTTAACTTCCTCCAAAGATTTGTTTGTTTTTGTTTGTTCATTTTATCCTACTCTACTTATAGATTTGAAGGGTACAAACAAGCAAAGAGTGGTGTAAGGCCTTTAAAATTCTTAATAACACATAAGTGGGTAGGTCTTTTGAAAAAAATCATAGCCCAAATGTCCCAAAGTCATATTTAGACTTTTACCATGTGACAAAGCTTTAAAAGTTATTAGAAAATTATATTTTTTAAGCAACAGTATAAAAACTTTTTTACTTCCATTTGTAGACCATTTGTTGAATTTATTTAATAACTAGCAATAATTTGTTGAATTTATTTAATAACTAGAAACCCTCTGAATTCATATCTGCTTGTGGATTTTCTTGATATTAAAGAGGTAGGCAAGAAGTGGAGAAGATAAAAATTGAAAC